ATAAGAAATATAATAAATTTAGGAAAAATCCTGTTTGTTGAATCTCACCGTAATTTTAAATGCTTGGACAATTTTCTTATAAATTAAAATCTATATGGACTGAAATGATTTAAACAAATTTGTTTAAATACAAACATGTATTTGTACCGAATCAATAAAATTAGTTTTTTATCAAATATAGGAAAACTGAATATAAAAACCAGTCAATTGCTTTTAGCACAATTTCTTGTTCAAACATTTGTTAGCTGTTAAAAATCACAGTTATAATGCAGAAAATGTTTGATTACTGAGAAGGCTCTTCAATGGAACTGAGAGATAGGAATAAGATTGAACTGACAATTACTGCTACACAATGTGCATCAATATGTACACACTGAAATTATGTCAACTTTTTTTCTTTCTTCAAATCTTTTCAACAGAAGAACAATTTGTTCTTTTCATTATGACATAACTGTTTGCAATGTGTAATTTCAATTTCTAAAGATTTATTAGATTTGTATTCTCTGTACTTTGCAGTGTCCGACACCAGACCCCATGCAATCATATTCAAACTGTATCCATTGCATAGTTTGACAAAAAATTAAGTTGGGCGACTCACTGGAGAGAAGGACTTTTGGTAGATCTACATGGAAAATGAATACACCCATAAAACTTTGAAAAACTGAGCAATTACAAAATATCAAAAGAGGTTTGCTTTTATAATTTTATTGCTGTTCTAGAAAAAAATAATTTCTGTGGTGATCCTTGGAAGAAAAATCTGCTGGTCCTCACTATTATTTCTATTGCAAATACCAAAATTGTGTCTATCCTTTGCCAAATTTTGGTGGTCAAACCTTCAGACCACCACTTTCTGAGAAATCTGAAGTGCACCTTTAATAACTAAATGTTGATGAAACTTTGCCCTAAATAAATATGTTATCATATAAACTACATGTACATGTATTTGCAGACAGCTGTTTGATCACCATCTTGTACCAATTAATATTCTAAATTAAAAACACTGTATCCAACATTGACTACTGGTACAGATAAGAAATTGAAAACCACTATTAAATGACAATAAATATATTTCCAATTGAAATGCACAATAAAGTCCCAAACAATATCAGCCGCAGTTGATCTGCAAATCTAGCAATGCAAATATGTTACTGAATACAAGAGAATAATTTTCTTGTCAAACCTACTGATACAAACGAAGATAAAGTTTAATTTACTTGCGTGTCCTGCCAAATTTTCCATATATGGATGATAAGGGTTTTGTTTGACAGTTATCCCAAAAAAGGTTATGAAAACAACCGAATAAAGAAGCTCTTAGCTCAACAACGATTTTAATTGTCTTGGAAACAAAGGAATTACACAATTTGTAAACGGTATATCCCAATGGACCAATTATGTAACTGGATAAGTAGGTAAAAATCATTCAAATTAATGCAAAAACATTAATGCAAATCAGAATATCACAGCTGGTGTAAATGTGTATTCATAATATCATATTCACAATACTGTAGCTGGCGTTATTCAAAGACAATTATAACTGTCCAGCATAATGGCAATACAAAGTCCCAAAAACTGAAATGACCAAATTTAGTCTCTGGACTACCATATAATCCTGTGGACAGCAAGCTTCTAACCAAACAAATGGATCAGCAGTAGAAATATTCAAAATAACATGTTATAGCTGTGTTTTCCCAGCGAGTTTTAGGTAGAATGCAAAGTTTTTAGGTTTACAGTTGATAAAAATGTAGATGGCAAAGATTTTAAAATAGAAGGCTATTCAGCTGACTACTTGCTCACTCTGTTCAATATATAAATACATGTATGCCCTGTGTATTGTGCATGGACAAGTGTCCATCATATGTCCATCATATGTTCAGAGGAAATTTTAAAGATTTTATCAAACATTAAATTTACAAACCTCAGAAACAATTCGTGATGTATATAATTTTGACTCCTTCTCTGACAACTACTACTGAGAGCTTTGAAATGCCAATTTTTAAGTTTTTTAATTGACTCAGCAGTTTTCACCACAAAGACTACATGTATTACTATTAAATCAGAACAAATCAGAACACTGAAACAACATAATCACATAAACAAGTGTTAAATCATTTTAGGCAATTATATATATATATATATTTACACATACAAAAACATCCCCTACTAAGCTTCTGATTGGATTTTTAAATTTGAAAATATAATCTATCAAGATCCTGTATAAATGCATCTCTTTCCTACAGTGATATCTACACTTTACAACCAAAATTTTAATGAATTCTTCCAATAAAGCAATTTAAATGTGCAAATTGTCCTATAAAAAAAACCCTGAATACCCATTTACAATGCTATTTTTAATACTGCACCAGTAGTATGCTATTGTTATGAGGAAAAAAACCTTCAGTTACATTTATTACTTTTTTGTGGTGATTTCAATGGCCACTTGTATAAATTGTAAATTATTTTTTAATGTTCAAGGAAGATTTGCATTAAATCAACCTGTCAGATGCCAGTTAACATGCAGATATTCTATACATTTCAAGAATGTACCACTGAGAAATCATTGTACATTTTTTTTTTTTGTGTTTTAATCATGTTTGTTTTTTTTAAATTGACTTTATAAGACTTGGGGAAAAAAACGTAATACATTTGTATGTAAATTTTATAATTATGTGCTTCTTCACAAAAGAAACATAATGCTGCTTAAAATAATATCTGGTAAAAAAATTAACCCTTGTAGACAAACAAAATGTTAGGCAGTTCTTAAAATGCACTCATCTGTGAAGCTCCCTGGATATTTTATTATCCATTCTTAACAACCAAATCCATATCTTTTTTTCCACTTTCACAAATAAAAACCCATCGATTTTTCTGATTCATTTTTTTAAATAACACAACAAAAGCTTTTCTGAAGTCATTGCCACTCTTTCACTTATGAAAAAAAAATATCTCGTTTGACCTAACCACTTAGAGCACATTTATTTTATAAGAGAAACAGAAATGAGAAAATGTCTACTAGTTAAGAGCTCTTCAATTTGGAGGAGGAAATATTTGCATGTCCTATTGAAGCTTCATGTTTATCAATTTATGTCAATTTCTCTTTGAAATGCATTTTAGCTGAAACAAATTGTTATCGAGACATCTTTTAATTTGAAACTTGAATTTATATAAAGTGAATTAAAGTGCATAGCATTCCAATGTTGATATTTTTCACAACATACTTTAGTTCTCTTAATCTATCAATATTTTGAAGTTTCTATTTTCCCAGGGGATGTCTAAACATTTTTAATTTCTAAAAAAATATTTAAATGTCTTGCATAGATATTATTTAATTTCATATATGCAGTGGAAACCCCTCGAGATAATTTTGTGAAAAAATGACATGCAGAGAGATATTGACTGAAATCTAAGTGAAAAAAGAGATACAGTTTTCAATGTTACTTAAGATCATGAATACTTATTTCTAAATAATTTCTATTACAGTAGCCTTAAAAGGCTTATTCTAATAAAAGCCATACAAAATAATATTAATAATATCTATTGCTAAAATAAAAATAAAGGAAGGCAATTTTTTTAGAAAACTTTACGACAGTAAATTTATGAAGCGTAGGTTCAGCCACTCATTATTTAACATATTTTTTTTTTGATAAAAATTTGGTATAAGAATAGCTCATTTTCAGTGCAATTCACATAAAATATTTATCTTATTTTCATGGCATTTTTTCTAACAAAATTAACAGGAGAAAATATCCATTGTTTACACAGTATGTAATTGGGAAACAGATATAACTTCAAACAGAAATTTTTGTAAAATCTATCTGCTAGTGACCTTCTGCTTAAGGATTAGAACTTTCACTTAGAAGTTTCTTGTTACTATGGAAGCATTCACTTCCTTAGTTACCACAATAATGAAGTCTATGTACTCCCTGAGGGAGAGAAACATTTTTCTGTCTAATCAAGCTTGAAAAGGACACATGACCCTGTCAACAAAGATTGCTGTCTTAATTAGGTTTCCATATTTTTTCATGCCCAAACCATAGTATTCAGTAGTAAAGCTTGCTTCTTTCAGAAGATTATTTTTCTATTTGATTAAAATTTTCATCATCTTTATCTCAAAATTCTAGTTAACAGGACTGTTGTCTGTCAGAGATCAGTCTAACGGCAATGTTGTGTCAGGCATGTGACAAAACCTTCAATGAAACAAATCCATACTTTTCAACAGATAAACTTGTGTTGACAAGAACTCCTGTGGGAAATATTAGTCATCAACAGAAAAAAATATAGAAATATTGGGTTGTATTGTTATGTTATGCATGTGACAAAACAAGAGAGCAAAAGAAGAGATTAAACATAATGTTCCTTCCTGTTCATCACAATATTGTATTGTCATGTTTACACATCAAGTGTAATTGCAGTGGGAGTGAAATCTAACAGTAACAACAATGTTGTGTTACTAACCCATGTCCACTGATCTCTTAAGCAGCAAAAACACTTAAGGCATAAATTCAGCAAGTTTTAACAACTTTTATGTCTAGTAGGTTGACTCTGAGGCAAAGTTGCAATGCTTCATTATTTTTGTCTTTCTTTACATTATCTTTGAAGACTTGACCAAAGTAAATGACATGGATTAGACAATGAGTCTTATGTAAATGGTAACGTTACTATTACTACAGTAACCATGGTAACAAACAAACTCATCAAAGATACCAGGATAATTTTTTTGTCCACCAGACACCCATTTGTCCACCAGACACCCATTTGTCCACCAGACACCCATTTCATCTACTAAAAGACTCATCAGTGACGCTCGATATCAAGAAAGTCAAAAAAGGCCATATAAAATATGAAGTTGAAGAGCATCGAGGACCAAACTGATACTTTAGAAAAGGAAATCCCTCAACAAATACCTGCTACTAGGTTCATAAACGATTATGACATATCATGCATTGAATGTGACCTGGATCATCACTTCTCTAGTGTATTAAACTCCATTGACAAAAACTTACCCCATAATTTGACTGGTCTGTTGGTCCATTTCTCTGTGTAGTCCAACCTAATCTTGAAGTTTTTGTAGAATCCAACAGTACCACTAAAAAATCACAAAAAAAAGATTAATATCATATCATCTAAATACCTATAATATTTCAATGACAAATTTTGTATTTTTTTTTGACATTTGAAAGTGGACTTATGTGTATATTAGTAACTCCCCTTATATTTTCATACATAGATGTTTCATTCATATTCATAAGGGGGTTGAAAAGCCTTCTGCACTTTCAAAGAAGACTTTGGACACCTCTATAAAGAGTTCATAGATTATTGAGCCTGTTATACAAGGCTAAATTTCTGTCCCCTATAAGTCATAAACTTTTTTTTAGTGGTGGACCAAATTTCAAACCTTTTATAGTGTTGATTTTCATTGCTGAACCTTATAACTTAATTTATTCTAATCCTGAATATGCATGTGAAATTTGCCTATGGATCCTAGGTAAAAAAACAATCAATCAATCTTATAGATTACAAATATATGCAGGTAAAAACCACATTTACATTGTCAATTTTTTAATTTCAGGTACAAGTTACAATAGTAGATTTTCGCAGAATAAATCTCATGATTTTATCTGATAACATTTTATCTTAAAATTAAGACTACTGATGTAGATTTTTTATCACCTAATTACCAGTACAAAATAGACTTGAGGCTTCACATTATCATACAATAAAAAATATCTTACTTCCTTTCTGGCTCATAAAACTCCCAATTAATTTGAGGGTCACTGACTTCTTGTTTTGTTGTATTTTATATTTGGGTTAAAATTTTACATGTTCTGTCTAAAAGCAAACCTTTTAAAAAAAATCATGTCTGTAACAAGTATTTTTTTGTTTTTGAATGACATATACATGATATAGGTGAATGTCTAGATCTTGAATCTTTATTCCTACAGCGGCTGACAAGCAAATGCTGATAATACTCCTATATTTCAGCTACATATATCAACTTGTTATAAAAATATAACTGGTCCTTTATAAAACACCCACTTTCTTTCTTGGAAAAGAATAATGTAGATGATTTACTGTGCTAATTTTACCCTTAAAAAAAAGGGGGGCGGGAGGAATTCACCAGTTTTAGGCTTCATTTTCATTTGACTATTTCAATTAGTGAAGACTTTTCATCATGCAATAATATAAAGCCTACATAAAGTGTACCTAATACTCTTGAATTCTGTACTTGAAATGTGAGAAAAGTTCTTAAATCATTAGATAGAAAAATATCAAAAGAAAATCTGCTATTATACTACGTGACAAAAAGTACTATAAAATGGTGATGTCAGTTCTTATTTTTTAATTCCATTACAAAATGGCAAGTATGAATCCAAGCGGTCAATGAGAAATATTTACGATAAAAGGTCTACACCATTTAATAATGAAATTGTTTCCAAGAAATAGCGGAGAAAAAGATAGAATACAAACAATTTCCACGACAACCTGTCTTTGATGTCAAGTCCCAGTGGTAGTCATTACTTGTAGATGGAAAAAACCTAATTGTTGGAAAAATGTTCAGCTAAGATTTACCAATAAAGCACTTTTGTAATATTTGCTAAGTGAAGTTTGTCACTATTACAGCTAATAGCAAACACTTCTGCCAGGCAACACTATATACAACAAATTTGCTGGTGGAATTAAATCCAATTTATTTGGGGTTTTCCGAGACAATGTTCAATTTCTTTCATGGCAGGAAATTATCACTTTAATTTTATCGGAAATGATCATGTTTATACTGGAATGATATTTCCGTGAATTTGACAGTTCAATTTATCCCTTGTTTGACCAGATAAGTAACTTTATAAGAGAAATACACCACAGAGAGATAATACAAATGTCAGACGATGTTGCCAACATTGATGAACAATTGTCACAAATTATTGGAAATTCACAGATCCCCATAAAATAATTTGAAATTTGTTTAATATAATCAACATCGTATAATGGTATAGAGTATGAATATAATAAGAAATATAATCCCTCCTTGATTCTATTGAAAAAGCAGTAAATCATATAAAACAAGCTTCCCAAGGATGCAGACTAGTAGTATGTTCATATAGTTTAAGCTTCCATGGATGCAGACTGCACAGGAACAGTTCATCATATAATGCAATGGCAAAAATAAAATGCAGCAATGTTTTAAATTACCATAGAAATTTATCAGATTGTAATAACTGGAAGGAAACAGTCAGTCACTTTTTGCTCCTGACTTAATTTTTTAATTCCATTCTTTTCTTCTTTTCTATTTTGTAGAAAAATCTAAATTGTACCGAAAATTTACAGCTCATTAACAAATTACACAGCTCATTAACAAATTGTGGATTAAATCAACTTCATTTCTAGTTTTTGCAGGTTTCAACGTTTGTAATCTGTGATTAAATTTCCATAGTATTTCAAATATCATCAAGCTAAACTATAATGTAAGCAGCTGGAATTCTTGCCACCCCAAAGAAATGTTACCTTTCATAGGATTTATCCACGGAATTGTAACTGAAATGTAAAGTCGGGACCAATGTAACTTACGGTACCAGTGAAGAGAAACTTTTGACCAGTTTCTAATTCATATTGCTCAACTTAATTACTAGCCTCTGGCCTTTGTTAGTCTTGTATGTTTTTTAATTTTAGTTCATTTATTTGTTTTGAAGTTTAGTATGACGTCCATTTTCACTGAACTAGTACACATTTTTATTTAGGGGCCAGCTGAGGACCACCTCCGGGTGCGGGATTTTCTCACTACGTTGAAGACCCATTGGTGGCCTTTGGCTGTTATCTGCTCTTTGGTCGAGTTGTTGTCTCTTTGACATATTCCCCATTTCCATTCTCAATTTTATGGTTGATTTACGACATTATTGTTGTCCTTATAATTTAGTAAATGAAAAAATTTGTAGGTTCTGTTTGTTTTTTTTAAAAGATTTTAATGTTCTAATGCATATTATATATACTGCGGATTCTGACATTTATTTACGTTGGTATCAGCTTTCGTGGTTGTAGAAAAAATAGCCATCTCTTGAAGGAAACCTGAATTTATGGTTTCATAATTTACTTCCTATGAAAGTAAGTGAATATTTGTATAGCCTTGATTATTTAAATTCATGGTTTTCCTTTACCCACACACCTACGAAAATATGCAGCCCATAAATAATAAAGAATCAACAGTACTATAAATTAAGTTGGAAATTCTTTTCTTGAGGGGGGGGGGGGGGGGGGGGGGGTTATAATTTTGCTAAGAAAATGTCCTTTTATTTATATAATCAATTTGAAGATTATAATTAGGGACAAGTAAAATGAAAATATATAGGTTTGACACTTAAAATCCCAAATTCAAACTGCAAAAATAAACCACTTTACAACACATCTTACTTCTGCACAGTGGGAGAGAAATCAATCAGTTCTGAAGTTTTCCTACTAAAAAAACTCTTCAACAATGATTATAAAATGACTAAATTACTTATGGCACTGTCAGAAGAGCATCATAAATTTTCTACATGTTTCTACTATAAAATATCTCTCTTATATAATAAAATACTTGTAGTTTGCCATCATTGTTAGATCGTAAATTTAAATCTTGTCAATTCGGTCTGTCACTAACATATAAAACTCCTCTGCTTCACACCAAATCCCCATAAAATGATCAAATGGAGTATATACTTAGCACTATTTTGAGGTATATAAAACAGTGATGCAATAAAATAATGTCACAAATAGGTGTTAAATATTGCTAGCTGATCAGTTGTGAAGGCGAGAATGAAGAGATTTTTATACCTTGTTATAAAATAATTTGTAATCACCCGGCATTATGTAATATGTATGTTTACTGAACTCCAAATGCATTAAGATACAAACTTTACATGATGAAAATGGCAAAGGGTTATTTAAAAAAAATCACGGCTGTATTAAGCAATCTGCCTGCGTATTCTTACATGATAATTTTGATACCGTTTCAAATTATACATTTTCAAGGTCCAAAAAATAAAAGAAGGTTGAATCTGAAAAGCCTATTGGAAAAGTGAAATCTTTGAAAAGTGTCTTCCATACAACAAGTTTTCTTTGATCAATGGACGAAGACTTAGAGATGTTTCAACAGTTATCTATCTTCCTATTTTATGTCTTCTTATCTGAGAAACATACAAATGCACAAATAATATTCTAAGATTATTTGTAATGACTAAAAGACTTTCTCCTAATCTAACTTCCTCACAGATAGATGTTCCAAAAAATAAATCCAAGTCAAAGATAATTCACTCCAAACCGAGCATACAATCTTAAAATTTTGAAAGAAAACACCACAGAACCATCTTATATTCTTATGCTGAAACTCATCTATAGATATAACTTCTTAAATTCATTTTCATGTCAAAATACAAACGGTTTCACCATGAAAATCTGACCTTGATAAAAAGTCTACATGATCATTCATAAGGCATTAAATGTCACAAAATTTTGAAATAGAATTCTAATAAGTCTTTTTTTCTCAAATCATATGCATGGTTGAATTTAATTTAAGCTTGAGTGAAGCGTTTCACTAAATTTTCTGTCTGACAATCCAAGACATTTACAATTTTGTTCAGGATCATAAGAAATTTCCTGGTGTTCTACACAAATTTCCAACAGATCAATTTTCTAGAGCCTGCTGAGTTCTTGAATTAAGTGAATGAATTAAATAATTTTTAAATTTTTAAGAAATCAATAGCGTTGAAATAAAATATTACAGGTGACATGTGGATGAATATCTTATCTATTTTGGAAAACTGAGTCACAAAGTTAGGCAGATTCTCTCATGATACCCTACTCTGAGATTTTTCGTGGATGTTTTCGCATTTTTTCACTTTGGCCCTTGACACAAACAACATGCCTGGTATGACCATAAATAGAAAACAAGATGAACAAACAATTCAACATCGATGTCATAACCAAAATGGCTGCTATTTCTATAAATAGGACATAATTCAAACCGATAAATCACTGTCACAACCAATGATAAAAAGTTTCTCTCCCTCTATAACAAGATTCATTCATAAAACCGAAGTTTTAAGGTTTTATGCAGGTAAAAAATAAATAAACAAATGAAAGATCAAGTCAGATCATCATCCCAAGACTATTAAAAAATACAGGATGAAAAAAAAAGATCTAATTGTATTTCCAATATAGTAGCTTTATTGTTGTATAATTTAATATTGTCTTTCTAAATGTTCATGTCCCAATAATGTAATCAACAGCTCCTGTAGGAGTACTATCAAAGTATTCTTGTTCAATGGTGCTTGTAATTTTAAGAGAATAGGCAAACAATAATTATTTGAACAATCATTTTCTGTGCACTATTTACATAGAAAGCATCATTTAACAGACTGCTTTAATGATGTTTTGTTCAATTTTCTACATAACATTGAATGGTGTTGTCTTGTTTCAGAGTAATTTGTGTAGAATAAATTATGACATTACAACACAATTTCAGGACAGAAATGTGGATTTGTCTAAATGTCAGGCTAGACTGAAACGTGAGACTAATGCCAAGGACTCTGTGCAGTAGTGGTCAAAGCTAAATTATGAGGTTATTGTATAATAATGGCCCAGTGGTCTGAGGTAGTCTAACTACTGTATCATTAGTCGGTCAACACTAAGGTTGTGAGTTCAAATCCTGCATGTTGCAAGTGCACTTGACTCAAATCTTCATTGACTAGGATTGTCAGTTTTCCTAGTGAAGGTCCTGTTTCTCTCTCAGGGCACTCTGGCTTCCTCGATCATTAAAACTGACCACCGTGAAATAGCACAATAGTGCTGAAAGTGGCGTTAAAACACCCATCAATCAATATAATTGTGAGGTTAATCATGTCAAGGGCTCAGTGCAGTACTGGTCAAAGCTAAATTACAAGGTTAATGTATATTTTATAAGTGTTTCTTTCGGCATTACCAAATTTCTCTTAAAAAATTATATAAATGCTTCCACATCTTGCATAATTCATTCTTATTAATTTATTTCCTGGTCCAAGATGTAAATTGCAACAAAAAAAAATTTCTTGTCTTTTTCTCACATCAAAATAAGAGAAATCGATAGGAGACAAGATTTATATGCCATCAATAGTGTCCAGTACAATGTCCAACATCTCTTTTAACACAGTAAATTCTTAAACCAGACAATTATTTTGTTCTAAAATACAATCTCGGTAGAAAAGCTTTTAAGGCTGACCATCACTAGAGTGCTGGATTTGACAACTCAATATCCTGTTATAGTACTGTGTTCCTGCCCAACTAAATCAGAGTTTTGTGATTAATGAACGCTAATCCATACTTGATTATATTTCCGATCGTAGTAATCTATTATTTATGTACCAATGCTTGAAACCCTTCATTATATTATGGACAGAGTATTCAATCTTGGGATACGAGCAGTAAATGATGTCCTATTGTGACTTACTTTTCACTTGCAGAGTGGAGTTCGCTATTATCCTCGGAGGGAAAACACTAAATTATTTTGTAAACAAGGAGATTTTATCATATCAATTTATCTAATTAGTTTGTGATCAAAACGCCAAAAGCAAATTTCCTTCTTATTTTTTTCAACTTTTTCATTTTTACCAACATTGAAAAACAAAAATATCTGATCATTCCAGTTTTTCTCAGAAATAATTAACCATAAAATTCTTTTACATATATATATTTCCCATCATAAAATAAATTTATCAAACTGACTTTATGTCGAACATGTTTGCAACGAAAGGCTAATTTTTCTCTTCAAAGCATTATTTATTTGCCCCTTGAAAGGCAAATTTTTCTCTTCAAAGCATTATCTATTTGTCCCTATCACATCTTTCTGAGAGATGACTGGACTGTCTGATTTCAATTTTAGCCTAAATAAACAGAACTTCTAATATCTTCAACACAGTTTTAAAAACACAAAAATAAGAAATTCCGACCTCAAATTGAAATCTTGAAACTTATGACACCTAAAGTTGTTAAGAACACATGAAAACAGAATTTGTGAGTTCCAGAGCTAAAAGTACATTTGATAATGTATTAAGTTTACAACTTTTCAGCCAAAATATTTTTGAAAGAAAATCGATTCAATTTGCAAGTACAAAATGCCTTCAATTTGAATGATGAGAAACCTATCCAAACATCAAGCCTAAGTAATTTGTTAAATTCTAGAATTTAATTATTTGGTTGAAATTGTCACTGGTTATAAATGGGAAAAAAGAGACATGACAAAAATCAATAATTAAGCTTTTGACTTCTGACACAAGCTACAAACTGGATCTAGCAAGACAGCAAAACCATGAAATTAGCCTAAGAGTTCAAAATTTTGACATCTGTGCTTTAAGTCTTGATCAAAGACAAATTAGGTTCTAGAGCATTTCTAAGTACTTACTTTAGACAATAAAACCATAGAGTTATACAACATGTACAAAGATATATTTCTGATTCTACCACAACAAGACTTCAAATAGTTCGTCAGTATTCAAATTGTTCAGAAAGACACTTTCTAGCAATGTTTT